AAACATGTTCAATCGAAATTTATATAATTTATGCTTTATAAAGCAGCCGATCTCTTCTAAAATTATACTAGATGATATATCGTATATATTATAAGGCAAGTGATACAGATTACATCGAATGTTTTATCAAAGCAATCTTTCAATATTAAAATAATAATACTAGATGCTGTATTATATATTTGTTAAACGAGAAGAGGTTGACTTTAGTTATAAAGAAAGAAACATGATTACCAGTAGCAAAGCAAACACATACGACAAAGTGATAAAATAATCAATATAGATAAGCATAATTCGTTTGTGTTTTTCGATCAACAGACTTTGTATGTTATCAATTGAATCACAAAATTAATTTATATATCTTGATTTAGAATCATATCAGAGACAGAAAAGAAAAGTAGGTGGCTAGGGTTTACTCAATGGTTAAAACTATTTATGCTGATAACGTGTTATGAATGAGAAAAAGAGATAAAGAATTGGTGTATCTTATTCCATAGGAAACAAATGTATATATATGATGCAATGACTTGGAGAAGAGTAATAACTTAGAGAACAAGTTAGAACATTCTATAATATAAGCTTCTAATGGGTATCTACTAATTGTGTTTATAACAACAATAATATTATTTTCATAATGCTAATTATTGATCGTATGCCAATCTCTTTTTTGGGCTTAGTCTAGGAAGATTTACTATTTTTTCGCCTACTTAAGGGCTGTTATTGGTTAGTGTATTTAAAAAGATTTTTGATGATTCTAACAATTAAATAATTTATTGGATTTTAAAAGAATTTCTGATTTTATTAAAATTGTTAAACGAGTTTCTAGGATTATTAGATTTTTGGCTAGAAGATAATTAGAACTTTTGTAGAGTTTATCTTAAAGATTGTAAACTATATTCTTTTATTTATTTGTTGTTATCTACTATCTTTTCTGTTATGTTCTCATCTTCTACAAATTGTACGTTGTTATTCTGAAAATTTTTCAAAAGTATGTCCACTAAATTTTCAACTTTTGTTTTTTATTGTAATTTATGTGGGTATGTTCATACAGCTTTTTCAAATATATGTTTCTGTGATTGTACAATTTTCTGATTTTTGTATGTGTGTTCATACAGTTTGATCACGTTTGTACAAACAAAAAAAAACTTACCATTCATGTTTGTTACTGTGAACCGAATAGGAAGATAGATTTCCATCATGATCATCCATCAAAATTGCTAAAAAAATTAAAAAAGTTACATGAGTTATGGAAACAAAGAATATTGACCATTTCAAAATGATCATGTCATGAAGGTTTCATGTCATGAAGTGATTTTAAAAATAGGAAGGGGAGATTAATCGAGACCATGTTTCTAAATAAAAATTTCTTTTAAATAAATAAAAAG